CTGCCTCCACTGCCAGAATATAAGCACCACGAGGCAGACTTGTTCTTCATTGTGTTCACTCTTGTATCCTCAGTGCCTAGAATAATGCTTACCACAAATATATTACATGAATAAATAAACAAATAATAGCAGCAGCTAGTATTTATTGTGTTGCACAGTGCTAGACACTGTGCCTAGGACAGAATAAATGTTAGCCATTGCTGGTGATGTATGTTGTTACTGTGTTTTTAGACAGCCCCTGTTAAAATGAAATTACCCTTTAAGGGTAATCCATTAACTCAAGAACAAACATTAATTGCTCAATTTCGCTAGCTGTGACTGAAAAAGCCCCTGAGAATGTGCTTCAAGGTGGGTAAGTTTTGATGAAAGGAAGGAATAAGGAAAGATCTGACTATTTTATGCATGCACACACATACACACACGTGTATATACATACGTGTATATTATTTTTGTTAATAGTCTAAAAGAAAATAACAAAAAAGAAATGTAGCTTGTTTGGTACAGTTGTATGTAGATGTTACTAGAGGATAAAACGAAAGCCGAACCTGTTGCCATTGAAGTCCATTCTGACTCACAGCAACTTGATTTTAATTCTTCATAATCGTCTTAAGTAGATCGTATTCAGGTTGCTTTCATATTCTACCAGGTAACATTTTTTCCTGACCCTATGGAGGGTATATAAAACCAAAAAACCAAACCAGTTGCCATCAGGTCGAGCTTGTGTGTGTCAGAGTAGAACTGGGCTCCATAGGGTTTTCATGGCTGTGACCTTTCAGAAGTAGATCATCAGGCCTTTCTTTCAAGGCACCTTGGGTGGATTTGAACCACCAACCTTTCAGTTAGTATCTAAACGCTTAATCGTTTGTACTCCTGAGTATTTTAATAAAAGGCAGGGAAAGGGGGGACAACTTTTATAATATGATTTGTTCTTTGCAAATCACCTAAACCAGCATGGATCATTTCTTGAATGTAATCAACTGTCATATTGCAATTTTTTTATAGAGTTTAGGGGGAAAAAAAATCAACCACTACCTTTTTTTTTTTTTAGTTGGCAATATTATTAGTGAAAAGAGGAGCTGATTGAAAGTCTTGTTGTGGCTCTCATTGACTGACTCTGTGGCCCCAGGCTTGTACTTGACGTCTACATTTTAGTTTCTCCTTCTGTAAAATAGAGTAATAACCCAGGCTAAACAGGAATGTGGTTAAAGTAATATCAAAGATGTAAAATCTCTTTGAGTTGGATTTTAAAAGGCACCATGCATGTACAGACACATTTCTGGACTGGATGCAGAGGTGTGTCTCTGCCATCCACCCAGTGTGAGTCCCCCACAATCCAGTAAATAGTGAGTTATAAATCTCCCAGAACAGCATTTGTTTTTATTTTTTGTTTGTTTGTTTGTTCTACAGCATTTTTTCTTTTCCTTATCTTTGTTTTTCTAACCTTTCCTTAGAATTTTCTCTCCAACAGTACAGAATGAAGCCGTCAGTTTTCATGTTCTGCCATCTGGTACAATTGAGAATGCTGAGGCTGTGATGGGTGGGAGGTCCATACAGGGCAATGAGGAGGAGGGAAGGGGAGGGAAAGTGGAACCATGGCAGAACTGATAGTCCCCAGTGGGACTTGCAGTCGTAGCTGGATGAATAAATCAATATTAGCAAGTGTTTGAAATTAAAAAGATGAGCTCAAAAAGGATGCAGACTAAAGAATTGGTAAGCACCAGGGCATATTAATTCTGCAGATACATGAAAGGGGTTAAAAGACAAGCATTTAATGGAAATAAATAGGAAAAGACTCTCTACAGGAGTAAGAAGTAAAGCTCTACAGAACTGGGACTTCAGCCAGTATTACAGGTACCATAGTAATCTATTGGGATCAAAAGCTAAGTAAGGCACAACTCTCCTTAAGAGCACCTTCTAATAGAAGGGATGAGACCCTCCACTGATAATCATGATGTAAGCTTCACTGTTAAAAATACCATAAAACAGAGATAAAGTTCTGAAACAATTTAGAGGATGAAGTGGTTCTGTACAGTGGGGGCATCTGGAAGGCTTCACATTGAGGTAGTACTCGAGATGGATGGAGAGGATTATAGCAGACAGTATAATGGGGAGGCCACGCCTTGGAAAGAAATTTGCAAGCAAAGGCAAGAAAGTGAGGTTGTGTTTAGGAAACGATGTCTGACTCCTTTTGCCCAGGACGGTAGAATTTGTATCTACAGATGAGACTAAAGAGGTGGCTTGGGGTCACGTTTAGAGGAGTGCTGAATGCCATTTATTTATATTTCCTTACAATCAAATTTTACAAGCACGTTTTTCTTTTTTCTTGGAAAAAGTGTTTACAACTCTGTTACTCAAATTCTTGGAAGAATAGTAGATAACCATGACCAAATACAAGTTACTGTGAGATGATAGTCACTGAAAAGTGTGAGCAGATGGGAACAGGCTTCTTTCTAACATGAAAGGGGAAGTGTGTCCCACATGAGAATACCATCGCTGTTTTGTGAATTGTAATGTGTATCTTGTTCTTGACATTCACTTAACCACTAGCAGTTGATGCTATCTCACTGACATTTCTTCTTTGACTTTTTTCTGGCTTCATTACACTTTTAACCACTTTAAACTTTTTATTTTTTATAAGTCTTGAAGTTTTAAACCTTTAAGTAAATAAGTATTCTTATGTGAAATTCTTTAAGGACATAAATACCTAAAAGTGCCTACAACTCTTTGAAACACTTTTATACCCTGCCTTTTTTTTTTTTTTTTAAAGTTTGCAGTAGGATATCCTTGTTTAACATTATACATTGAAGATATTCTAAGCTTAATTTTAGAAAGATTAAGTAAATGCCTAAGAGCAGAAAATTCTTTTAAACATCCACTTCCAACTTGTCACCTTGACAAATCCATGTTGATAAAGCCATTTGACTTTCTTACTTCCAGTCAAATCAGTCAGTGTGATGGAATTTTCAATATTTGTGACTTTTAAAGTATTTTTTTGTAGAAGAGTTTATCTTTTCTCATCCTTTATCATTTTTCATACACTTCATTCTCAGATAATTCTGAAATCCTTTCATTGCTACTCACATGTGACTGAACTTTGAGACATGGAAATAGTTACTGGTGTATGTGTACACACCTGAGTGTGTGTGTGTGTGTGTGTGTGTGTGTGTGTGTGTGTGTGTGTGTGTGTGTGTGTTTGGGTACCATGAAACAATCAGACAAAATGATTTTAAGATAGTAAGTTTTACCAAAATTGAGCAATCGAAGCAGTCATTTTATTTGTTTTTCTGCTTCCAAATTGTTCAACAGATCTAAATTTGATAGTTTTCTGTCCTAAGTTTTTCTTGTATAAAGTGAAATTGCAAATAAATATGTTAGAGCAGGATGGATAAGGAGGACATTTTCTTTTTAAGAAAAATGACCATTATACCTTACAGTGTAAAAATGATTTCAGTGTTTCTTTTGAGTTTTCTTAGTAAAGACTTTGTAGGTTAATATTATTCTTTGCTATTTCCTTTATATTGTTTAATTGCATCGTGCTTTTCATTATATGTAAACCTTTCCAAGACAGCTTTATGCTAAATAAATTCTTGTCTTTGGAGGTGGTATACACAGCTTCACTAAGAGAAAATAAATAAAGACAGCCACTATGGTAAGCAATTCTGACCTAGTATCTGAACTATAGGTAAGGAGATAAAACACCTATACAACCTAAGTAACCTATATAGACTGCAGTTGTGAATGAAATGGTAATATAATTTCATGGGCTATATTTTAAAATTAATTTTTAATTACACAAGTGACATATCATTATGTTCTTATTAAAACAAAAAATACAGATGAGACAAATTGTCCTGACTGCCACACCATCAATACAAATGCTCGCTCTGCATAAAAGTAAAGTTACGCTGTACAGTTATAGAAAGATTAAATGTTAAATATTGTAAGAGGAAAACCCATCAACTGTTTCTAAATTTTCCTTGTTTATTTAACTTGGATTGTCCCGGGTCAAGAAAAACTTGAACTCCCTAAGACTGAGGAAGAGGGGCCGCACAAGACTGGGATTCTGGCCTGTGGTAGAACAGTAGAGAGGTCGAGAGGAAAAGTTCTTGTCCAGAGATACAGCTTTGCTTTAATTAGGCTATGCTGTACAAACTTACATGGAATTTGATATTAGAAGTTATCGAACTCAATATACATGTTTATATACATATATCTAATAATTTCGTTGGAATCACTAATTGGCTTTAAAAGATTTCTACTTCTAATTCTCGTTGATTTTGTTATTCATCAACATAACCTATACATTTGATAGCTACCATTTGTGCCTACTGTGTGGCAGGGATTTTTCATTATTTCCCACGTTAAGCCTATTTTACAGATGAAGGGACTAAGACTCAGAAAAGTCAACAGCCTACCCTGAGGCCACAGTATTAGTAAGTGGGGAGGGGTAGATGCTGTCTCTCAGACAGGCTATTTTCTTCACACCATGCTGCCTCAGAGAACAGCTAACAGAATCAGTTTTTGTTTTTTTCTAGATGTATGAGTAAAAATATTTAGTATCTTGACTCATTAAATGGCAGATGTTTTGAATTCTTATTGTAATGTCATTCTAATATCTTTCCTGTTATGACAGAAAAGACACTCGGGTCTTCCATTTTTTTTCCTCTCTACATGTTTAACCACAGGTACTGAGTGGGCTCTGACCAGTCAGAACGGGCCCTGCTTGTACATCAGTTGAATGTCACCCCAAGTTTAAGACCTCAACAAACCTAATTAATGAGAATATAGAGTATTTTAAACTCTTTTGGCCTATTAATATTTTTTAGAAACACCAAAACATTCTCAAAATCTTCGTCTTAATCTGCTACTAGCATAGTAATAACATGCTGGTTTCAAGTTCGCTAGTGGTTTTTTGGTTTGTTTTGTTGGGTCACTGAAAAAGTAAATGAGCCTGCAGAATTTCTTGACTGAGACTCTGCCCTGTTTTTCCCTTTTTCTAGGTCTATTATTAGCAGAAGATTTTTCTGCATAGTTGGCACGCTGTACCTGTATCGGTGTATTACAATGTATGTAACTACACTCCCAGTACCCGGTATGCATTTCAACTGTTCTCCGAAGGTAAACCATTCCTCACTGTAATTTCTCTTTTTGTTTGTTTCTCATCTTGCCCAGGGGTTCTTTGATTAAAGCCGAAGGTGAAGATTTCTACAGAACGTAGTCAAGTCCCTTCACCCACATCTGGGAGTATTACTAAGCAGTACGGCTAGGCAGCCATACCCTTCTCAGAAGTTCCAAGTCCTGCCATTGCCTCCCAGCTGAGGAAATATGTGGTCTAGTTAGTGTGTTGGAAGCAGTTAAGTTTTGTGAGGGGGTGTGTGTTCACTGGTTTCCTGCCAAACTTTTAAAATATCACTTGTTCCCTTGACACAGATCCAGAAGCTTTTATATGCTTTTCCCCCTCTGTTAGATAGCTAAATTTCAAATGACATTTTTTCTTTTTTCCTTCTTTCTTTTAATTCCTACAGAATAATCCATAACAGTAGAGCAGGAGAAGCTATACCTGTCTCCTTTGCACGCTTCTCCCCCACCCCAAAAAATAAGATCAGTATTCTCTGGAGGCAAGATCACCTTATGAATCTTCTCTAGTAGCATAGGAACCAACCTTGCTTATAAATACATCTTATTCCTGTCTTATTTTCTCTACCTTTCCATTAGACGCCCATAACATTCCTTTTGTTACTGTTGTTAGCTGCCATCAAGTTGGCCTCTGACTTATGGCAACCTCAGGCGCAGTGAGATTGGACCATTGTGATCCATAGGGTTTTCAGTGACTGATTTTCCTTACCCCCTAACTTTACCTTGGAAGAATTTTAACTGGAGAGGTCACTGGAACTTTATGAAGTAAGTAGCAGAAGATTTAGTTTTTAAAATGTTTCCTGACATGAAAGCTCTTTAATGCAATGAGAAGTAGAAGAGGCTAGTTTCTCTCCTTGATTTTGGTGTTAAGAAATATAGAATAATATGATGTGTTTGGAATAATTTCTTTCAAATAAATCTTAGGGCCAAATCTTTATCCACAACTCTCATTATGACAACACCTAATTGAGCCTGTGCCTTCCACTTACGCTGGTAACACACCCTCTAAGCTTTCAGCCTCACGCCTTTGTACTTCTGTTCCTTCCAGAAGAGACACTCTCTCTGATAGAACCTTGAGAGGAGGCTCAAAAATTCACTTTGGAATTTTAAAGTGGTGTCTTCAGTAATTGAAATTTTGGATCCCCTTAGATTGTTTGCTTGCTGTAGCCCCACCTCTTTCCTAGACTTACTGGTATGTAGGTTCTCACAGAGGTAGTAGTAGTTTCTTACGTGACTTTCCGTTTTTGCTGCAAACCATTTCCTTAACTCTGGAAACACTGGCATGAGGAATAAATGTTTCCAATACTCCATTCCTCTTATCAGCAGTCTTACTCCCTGTACCCTCTGTCTTGCTCTTTCTTCAGCCCTTGCAAAGAAGCCACTCTCACATCATCTTTATTCTTTACAAAAAGCTTTCAAGCATAATATTGTATGAGCCTCCAGCTCCTGGGTTATGAGAAATATCTTGTTACCATTGATGGTTCAATAATGTGGTTCTCTTAAACTGGGAGACTGGTTTGACAAGCAGCTGCCTCTACTATATAGTAATTCACCGTCAACTGGAAGGAAGAACTATTGCTCACGCTTTAAGTAGTAGGCTGATGATTAAGAATATTTGACCAAGCTTAGTTTAGCTCCTTTAAAAAGTCTATGAATTAGGGAAATTTCTCCACCAATAAGAATGTCATGCCAATTTAGATAGATGTGGGTTCTGGCCAGGCACAAGTTGAAGATGGATCTGTATGGCCTCTCTCCCTACCCTGGCTGTGTAGATGTGCTGTGTAGCCTTTCTCCCTGCTCTAGTTCTAGCCTTGTTGCTTCTTGAGGACCTCTGCAGTTTCACCCAGTTCAGGCAAGCCCAAGTTTGTCGAGCCATGGGTATTTCAAAGTCAGCTTGAGTCGTCAGCATACCTAACCAGAGATACTGCAGCTAAAAGTAGCTTATGTGTTTTCTTAGTGATGACAGAGGTAACGGCAGGAACTGTGCATAAAAACAAAACTCACATATGTCACTCATTTACAGTCTTGCCAGAAATCCCCACTAGGGTGGGTGGTAGTTATGATGGTCTTCTGGAAATTGGTATCTTTTAAAAATAAAGTATACAGGAGGGGGGAAAACATTAGCAATTTTAACAAGAATTATTAGTTAAAACTCATTAAATCTAATTACCTCTTTCTTTGAAAAGGACTCTATGAGGGAAGGATTCAAAATACAGTTTTTGATTCTAGAAAATTTTAAACTTATCCAAAAGGGTAGACACTGACATATAAAGAACCCCCATATACCCATCACCCAGATTCAGTAATTACAAGATTGCCTACATTTGTTTCATCTATCCCTTTTTTTTCCTTTTGTTTTGAAATATTTTAAAACAAATTCCAGATACTGTCATTTCACTGGTACATACTTTAGTAGGTATCTAAGAGCTATGGAAAGTTTGTTATATAACCATAATACTATTAGCACATCCAACACAATGAACAGTAATTCTATGGTATCAGCAATTACCAGTCTGTGGAATTTCCTGATTGTCTTTAAAATGTATTTTTCCAATTGGGTTTGTTTAAATTAGGATCCATACCAGGTCTTTACATTACATTTGGTTGTTCTGTCTCTTAAGTCTCCAAATCTAGAGCAGTGCTTTCTCTTTTTCTCTCCCTCTGCCAATCACTTATTATAGTGACCAGATCACTTGTCCTGTAGAATATTCCACATTCTGGATTTGTCTGTTTGCCTCTTTGTGGTATCAATTAACTTTTTTCTCTCTCCCCCATATTTCCTCTAAATGAGAAGTTGGCTCAAGACTTGATTAGATTCAGTTGTAACTTTTTGTTGAGAATACTTCACAGATAGAACAGAAAAAAAATCAATGCTAGAAAGAGGAGTCATAAAAGGCTTTGAAGGCTTGGTGCTACCCTTAGGTGGCACATCAGGCTTAAGAATTCACTGGTCAGCGATGGGGAGCAAAGTCAGAAGGGAGAGAAGAGTGACACTAAAGAGGGGCCTTGGAGACCAGCTTTGCCTACTTGAGAGTCATATCCAGGGCTGAGACAATCACAAGTCTCAGCTTAGAATTGAAAGGAACCTTATTAGAAGTTACTTAGTCCAATATTCTATTTGATATCTGAACATCATCACCATTGACTTTTCATCAACCTCTCTCTAAACATTGCACAGGGAAGGAACGTATTACCCCTGTGAAAAACAAACGTAGTTAGTAGTAGAAAGTATACTGAGGTTTGAGTTTCTTGCACAACCACTTGCTAGCTGTGTGGCAGTTGCATAGAACAGGTCATTTAACTCCTCAAAGCCTGAGTTTCTTTACTGGCAAAACAGGGCTAATGATGCTTTTTGTACCTATCTTAAGGAGTGGTGGCAGTGAAAGGAGACAGTATATGGGGAGTCTGTCAATGTAAAGTGCTGTACAGAAATAAGAAGAGGACTTGGTGTCAGCATCATGCTTCAACCCTTAGACTCTTATTCATCCAGTGAGTCTTTATTTGTCCATTAATTCAACAAACATGCATTAAGCACCCACTGTGTATTCGGTGTTAAGAGTACGACAGGTGAACAAGGTAGATATAATCCCTGCCTTTGTGGAAAGCACCTTAAAATCACCTAGTCCAAACTTCTGTCCAGTGTAATAAATGTGTAAAATGGAATGGAAGGGAGACAGATTTGAACAATATGTAAGAGGCCCAATGAGTACAACTTAGTCATACATTTAATGTAGGGAATGAGGGTAGAAGGGAATAATTTCAAAGACAACTAGGTTTTACCACTGAGATAATTACAAGGTAGGGAGGAAAAGGGTATTAATGACTTTGGATTAAAAACAGAGTTTGAGGTACTTGTGAGATACCTAAGTGGAGGTATCCAGGGTAGTTATAAATATAGGAAAACAGGGCTAGGAAATAAATATTTGTGATTGATCATGTTCTGGGTGGTGGTTAAAGCCTTGGGTATGGATGAGAAGACCCAGAGACAGTACATATAAAGTACAGTGTTTCTAGAAGTGACATTCCCTTGTTTCAAACACCATTTTAAGGCTGTTGCCTATAAGTTGGTGGGTACTCTTCTACTTGCTCAGATTAGCTCTTATTTTAATAATCGGATGAGCTAAGCATTAAAGTGAGATGCATGTTTGGTTCTGTTTGACTGTCCCCATGGTTACCTTAGATTTGGCTAATGCATTAACCTGATGTGGTGTTTTCGGTGAAATGATTCTCTTGAATTTGAAAGATGTATTTTTTGCTCTTCCCCTCAACACGTGTGAGCACAGCCCGCTGTTGGACAAGAGTTTCAGTTGAGTGGTATTTGAGGTTGGTGGTATTTGAGGCTGATTGCTCAGTGGAACATTAAAATACAAATGTCACAGCAGAAAGACCTTCGTAGGCTCCTCTGCCATTGTCAGCTTTTCTGCAGTACATGGATTAGAAAGATCAAGGCGTCTCCTTTAACTCACTGTTGAGTCCTGATGTAGTCATAATCAGCCTAAAGAGTTCCTTTTCTGGCACAAGTTCAGTCCAACAAAGCAAAAGACTCACTGCTCTTTAGAATTTTATAACCTTCTTTAACCCGTTGCCGTCGAGTTGATTCCGACTCATAGCGACCCTATAGGACAGAGTAGAGCTGCCCCACAGGGTTTCTAAGGAGCGGCTGGTGGATTTGAACTGCTGACCTTTTGGTTAGCAGCCGAATGCTTAACCAGTGTGCCACCAGGCTCCTCATAACCTTCTTTAGTTCCTCTTTATGTTCTCAGGCAGCAGCTACAGTATTCCAAGCTGCCCTCCATGCTGATAAATTTTGATATTCTGATTAGGTTTTGCTAATCTTATCAGTATTTCAGAATAGAGATTGTATTCATTACCAAAATAACTTCCCATCATCCTCTTGAATGGTGTGGAACTTAAATTGTCAGTGCTTGTCTCCCAGTTCCTTGTTATCAGTCTAATTTTCCTTTTTGATCATTCTCATTTTT